CCTTCAATAAGTGATTTATTTCTCAAGGATGGGATGATCACAGGCTCAGCTGCTGCCTCTTCTCTGTTTTAATTTTATGGATTATGTCACCTTCTCTATACATTGTTGTATGTGACCTGTGAGGGCCGTGGCTTATGAGTTTTCTCTGTACACTGCTCCTTTGAGGACTGTGGACTTGGTTCATTGCTATGCTTGTTGTTTTTAAAGGTTTAGTTGTTTGTTGTGTTTTGGTGAGGGCAACCATCATGTTGGTTTCTCCCTCTGCCTTTTGTTGTTTTGGTGTGAGGGTATACCCTCGAATCTCCCTGCATCATATTGTTTCATTAAGAATATAAAACTGGCCATCAAGAATAGAAATTAAGAACCAAAAAAACAAAGGGAAGAAAGTGAATTTTTTTGAGAATACTAGCTTATTGAATGATGATTGAAAGCCCTTTTCTAAAAATTAAACCCTAAATGTGCTAAGCAAAAAATTAAATCATAGTTCCACTACAAGACCTAGTTGAACTTACACTTCTTGCTTGTATGTTGAGTGATGATGTTCAATGTAGCACGAGAGGAAAAAAAAAAAAAAAAAAACCCAAACACAAATCAAGCTTACTTGCTCATTAATTGATGATGTCCCATGGAGGTGAGAAGAAGAAGAACAGTGGAGAGAGGAGGGTGTGGGCTTCGGAAGCCATGAAAAATAAAAAGAAAAGAGAAAGGATGATTACCCAATTAAAACAGGTTGATCTGGTTTTCTTTTTATTTTTTATTATTTTGCTGATTTTGTTATTAAAACTGATGTATTATCTTTTTATTGGGACACATAAGAGGTTAGTAGGGTGAAGTTATTCACTGGAGAGTAGCTAAGCATTATTCTATTTTTTTTTTTTTTTTTTGTGTAAATCTGATGTTTCATAATAAATTTATATAAAAATTTTGGATTATTTATTTTGAACTCCAGCGGTTGTTTTATACCTTTTGTATAAAAAGGACTTCCACATAATTTTACAAACCTACTTTATATATGGTTAATTCGTTAATGGAATGAGAAAGATGAAGGAAAAAGGAAATATGTTGATGTGTCTGTGTAATATATACAACAATTTTACACATTGGTGATATGTGTATCTTAACAACATCTCCAGTATGATGTATAAATTTTTTTTTTTTATCTCCAGCAATGTTGATACACTGCCACAAAATTGTTGTGTATTTTACACAACTTTTTTATACAACCACATTAACATATTTCATTTCTCGTTAATAGAATCAACTATATATTAAGTAAGTTTGTAAAAATTATATGAGGTCCATACATGACACTGGTTGGTTATTGGGGATATCTTTTTACACAAAAATGTATAAAACAAAGCTAAAAATAAATAATTCAAAATTTTGTATAAATCCATGATGCATTAGATTTACAAAATAAATAAATAAATAATACAAGATGCTCTAAGTAGATGATTTTCTATTGGCCATTGATGTGTTCCAATCCCAAATGCATACATAATCACAAAAATGGGAAACTACTAATAAATAAGGAAAACAACCCCATTTTAAAAAAATAAATAAATTCAGCTACCATCTCTATTTTCCTTACTTATTAGTTTCCTTATTTATTAGTTTCATAATTTTGTAATTGGAGACTATGTGTGTATTTATGATTGGACCAGGGTATAAACGAGTTAGTTTCCTTCTTTATTAGTTTTCTGATTTTGTAATTACAGACTATGTGTGGACCACATCTAAGGCTCTAAAGGAGCTAAGGCTTTTAACCAACATTTATGGCTGTAAACCAGCTAGCTAAGCTTTAGAGTATTCTGGCTCGGCTTAGCTCAGCCAAAGGAATGTTCGAGCTCGTTCAAGCTTGGGCTTCCCTGATCGAGCTCAACTACTCGTTTAGTTGTTAAAAAAATAAATAAATAAATAAAAATTCATCAAATTCGATTTGAATTCCAAAAATAAAAAATAAAAAATTGGACATCTGTGTATATACATACCCGAATACAAATTATTTTTATTAAATTAAATTTTTTTTAAATGGATTTTCATATATGAATCTGCGTATACACCCACGTAAAAAATATATATATTAAATTAATTTTTTTTTTAAAAAATTAATCTGCATATATGAATCTATGTGCATGCATACCCACCGATCGTTGACTTACATATTAAATTAAAAAAAATTAATCTGGATATATGAATCTATGTGCATGCATACCCACCGATCTTTGACTTACATATTAATCTTCCCTCAATGTTTTATCTCCAAAGTTATCAGACCAGATGAGAGAGAAAGAAAGAGATAACAGAAAAGGATATAGCATGTGGCTGGTTGAGTGTGAGATGAGAGGTTAATGTGTTTATATAGATGGGCTTCAGAATATGGGCTTGGATTTGGGCTGTTCTAATTTGTTTCGGCTTGGTTTATTTTATTTTCGAAACGGTTGGTATTACATTTAGATGGATTGGGTTTAAGTTGTGTTGGGGCTGGGTTTAGACTGTTCTAATTTGTTTTGGATTGGTTTATTTTATTTTCAAAATGGGTGGTATTACATTTAGATGGATTGGGTTTAAGTTGTGTTGGGCTGAAATAAAAAGCCTGTAAAGAGTGGTAAATTGGTAATATAGTTAAGTGGGCCTTTTTTTGTCTTTCTTCTTTTGCCTTTTAGTTAGTATTGCATGGAGTCAACATATATATATATATATATGAGCTCAAAGCAAGTCTTTATTAAACGAGTTTGTTCACGTGTTCATGAACAAACAAGCCGAATGGACAGTTGTTTGTCCAACCTTGGTATGTTTATTAAATAAATGAAAACGAACCGAACTCTTAACGAGCCGAGTTCAAGTTATTTGTCGAACGCTTGGTTCATTTACAACCCTAACCACATAAACGGTTAGTGGAATCACCCACTCACTAGTGAGTAGGTAAGTATTATCAAGTCAATGTCAAAAGGGTAACTGAGAAATATTATAAAAATTATTACATCTATTTTAAGTGAGACATATACATTTGTAGTGTAGTGGTGCTTGGCTAATTCAGTTGTAAGTTATGAAATTTTTTGTCTGACCATGCAGGTTATTAAATTTTATTTTTATTTTTTGAGGCACATTGTTATGTAAAAGAGAGGTTGTAACGTACCTTTTCTAAAATTTTGATACATTTCCTCAATTGGATTGAATTCATAAGCAAAACATTGATAAGTTGAAGCAAAACATTGATAAGTTGTAACGGCCAGTGAACATCTAACAATAGTAATTAACACCACCTCCTCAACATAGCCTTGTCATCACCAAGTCAGTATCAAGTCAGCAAGTTAAGAAAGAAATTTATTTTTATTTTATCATATATACGAATACAATTTTATACATTATATAATATATTATACAAAGTATATTATTAAACAAATATCACTCTATACGTTATACTTTATATGTATAATAGTATATTATTATACAATTTAACTTTACCTTTTTATTTAAATTAAAATATATTTTTTACTTCTTCTCTTCTTTATCAGGAAAGAAATCGTTCACCTCTTGTTCGCAGAAAAAAAAAAAAAAAAAAAAAAATATCGTCTTCGCTATTCTGTTCTTCCCTCTATTTGGTAAAATCGTCTGTTCTTCTTCCATTATAGGTCTGATTTTGTTTCTTTGAAAAGAGAGCTTGTTAATCACAAAACATTACTTATACAATGCGTTCTGGATATGCTTTACGTTTGGTCTGGTTTTGCTTCTTTCATACTTAATTTTGATGAGAGAATTTTGATGAGGGAGAGTTTTCATTTCATTTGGATGGAAAGTTAACTTTTTGGGGGAAGATTTTTGTTATTTCTTTTTGGGATTAATACAGTAAAAGTTAAATTAATTAAAAAATGCAATATATATATATATATATATATGTTATATTCCCCGGTTACCTACTTACTAGTAAGTAGGTGATCTCTATTGACCACTGATGTGGTTCAATCTCAAATGCACACATAATCTCTAATTACAAAAATAGGAAACTAATAAATAAGGAAAACAACATTTTTTTTTTTGGAATAAATTCGGCCCAGTCTATGTTTTCTAATTTATTAGTTTCCTGATTTTATAATTGCAGATTATGTGTGCATTTATGATTGGACCACATCTAAGGCTGTAAACCAGCCGAGCTGAAATGAGTTTAAAAGTATTTGGGCTCGGCTTAGCTCAAACAAATGAATGCTCGAGCTCATTCAAGCTTCCCCTGATCGAGCTCGAGCCGAGCTCGACTACTCATTTAGCTATTAAAAAAAAACAGTTAAACTGCACTTAACATCCCTTTTGGAATTACTTTCACCCTATTGTAAAAGTTGGGGGCAGTAAACACCCCTGTGATTTAACAATTGTGTGAAAATCTCCTAAAATCACTTTTCACAAAATCTTATACAAAATACTAGAAATATATCAATTGTACTCTTTTACTCTTCCCAAAATACTCATAAGAGCTTCAAACTATCTGCAACCCAACCGTCGTGATCCCAACTGCCGTGACACAACTCACAGACCGGCCAAGCTTCATTCCTCCATTAAACACGGTGAGCACCAAGTTCCGCCAATCCCAATTTTTCCGACGAGCTTCATGGACCCAAAACGAAGCATAGCTACATCTACCTAGCTAAAACTAACCCCCCCCCCCCCCGAATTTTTAATTTTTTATTAATATACCATACTATATTTTTTCCAATATATACCCCTACAATATTACTAATGTCCCTGAAATTGTTACAAAATTTCAGCCTTGCCCCCTACCTAAAGTTTTAGATCCGCCCCTGTAATTGGATCTCGGGAATTTTGTACATAGTGGCATAAAATCACCCGGCCCAGAAGATGTTCTTAACATTTTAAAGTTAAATAATTAAAGCATCTTTCTTATCCTCTCTCACCACTAATCCATAATCGCTAGCATTCTTGTCATGAAAAAACAAATAAATAAATAAGTTAAAGCTTCTAGATCTGATTGAGAAGAGTCAAAGATAGAGGACTGAATGCAAATTTATTTTTAACTAGAATAAGATTTCATAGTCTTGATTTCATAGATGACTAACACACAAAAGGTTCCAATTTAAGCACAAACTCACTAATAAGAGATCAAAGGTACAACCAAGAGCTTAGCTAGCCATCTGAACCATACTAGCTAGCTTGAACCTAATTAACAAAAGGCTTCACTTCTTTAGGGTGATCGTGATGATCATGGCTGTGATATAATATATTGATCGGAGTGGTATCGAAATCCTTCGTGAATTTGCTCTCCGAAAGTTCTGTGTGCCCCTTGATGGTGTTTTCGTTGGAGAAAGACGACGGATCACCGCCAACAAGGTCTTGGATTGCCTTAGGCATGGGTTCCTCTTTCATTATGCTCTTCCAATAGTCTGCTGCCTCTTTTCTTCCATCAGTAGGGCTCAACACCTGATCCACAAAGAAGAAGAAATATTAATATATATATATACACACACACACACATATACACACACATAAATTAGGAGAAGAAACTGCAAAGAAAACCCATTGTAGCCAACTTTATTTCTCTCTCTCTCTCTCTCTCTCACACACACACACACACACACAGATATATATATATATATGTTGTCTAGAAATGTTTACCAAGAGAAGGGAGAAGAGAACGAAGAAGGCAGAGATGGATCTCATGTCTTTGTCTAACTGCTTGTTGAAACACACTTAGTTTTACAAGCTTCAATGGTGTGCTCTTCAACCTCTGACTTGGTATTTATATACCATTTACAAGGGCAAGAAAATAATTTTCTATAAGAGTGATGGTTACATGGTCGGTGCTCCATGATAAGATGCCATGAACCACATAGTTCAGTCCAAGGCCACAAGCAAGGGGCACTTCATACGAATTTGGTAAAGTTCTGACTATGTTTGTCCTTTAAAAAATTATTTGTACATATGAGATATCAAATCAATCGATCATGAGACCTGATATTTCAAGATATTAAAAGTCAAATATTTTTCACTTGAGTCAACCCATAAAGTAAATTTTCTTTCTAAATGAATTTTATTCTCATGGATATGTTGCTCCAAGGCCCAAAATGTTAAACCATAAACAATTTGAGCAAAGAGAGGGACAGAGTAGTTTTGACTCCTTGTATAAAACAATCCTTCAGGGTGGCATATGCTCTATGCATGTGCTCTTTGCTCAGGTTTCCCTAGTTCTTTGTACAAATGTATCTCTATATATATATATAAAAAAAAAAAATGGGAATCAGTACAAGACTCCAAGTGGGTAATAGTTTGATACAATTCATTGTTTAAAAATATGGTCATTTCATGTTTTGTTTTTATCAGGTAGCAACAATTGACATGGGCCTTCTGAAAACGATGCAGGTTAATCCCAAAAAGTGGGTGGGCTTGATTGTAGTGTTCATTTTATTTTATATTTTTATTTTGACTGCAATCTAATTGAGTCATTAATAACTTTTTTATTGCTAGCGCTGACAGGTGTGTTTGTTGCTAGGGGCTGACATAGGTGTGATAACACTCACTTTAATTCTGTCATCATCTTATACATGAAAGGCCAAAACAACACCAGTAAGGCCTGTTGGCAAAGTAAAGGTGAGTCCAAAGGTATCTTTTGTACCTAAAAGATAATGAAACATCTAGACGCTAGCTCGACATATCTATTTGTTAATATATATATATATATATATATATATATATACATAAATGACTACACTCGTTGAATTCTGGTGTTTATAATATATATGTATGTGTGTGTGTGAGACTCTTAAAAGATAACTGACTGAGTTGGCTATGTTAGCAACCTTCATTATAAAATTGTTTACAGCAGATAACTAACAAAGGAGTCACACTAATTGAAAATCACCAAACCATTTATGGATGGTTGATTAAAGACAAACTACATAGTCAACGGTTGTGGGTCCATATGTGATGTCCTTTTGTCCTTTATTCAAAATTCAACGTATCTATCTATAGTAGTGAGCTTGGATTTTCTATCATATATATTGAAATATATATATATATATCACTTTCACAGGCTCTTCTAGATCAAGGATCAGTATATTTTAGTTGACTTTTAAAAACAAGAATTTGGATATATATGGTCTCATATGAAGCCATGGTCTTTATAATTCGGCTAACACCTAAGCACCCTCAAGGTTGTTGGGACCAATATTATTTTGTGTTTGTAATTTTGTATTTGAAAGTATTAAATGGATATTTTTTATTTTAATTTAAAGAAAGATTAACTTAAAAAATTTTAATTTAATTTAATTTGATTTAAATTAAATTTATTTTGATTTAAATTTAATTCATTGATTGGGAATTATTTTTTCAATCTATTTATTGATTGAATGATTTGGAACACTTATAAATTAGTAATTAACATATATATATATATATATATCTTTGATTTACACATATCTATAGTGTGTGTATTTGTGGGTAGGTGGAAGAGACAGATGGTCAACTTGGAGACGAAGCATCATTACACCAATTAAAGGTCAGACGATGGATTGAAATCTGTACGATATCAATGTGTAAACCATGCTAATCATGCTAAGCTAGTCACTAGTGGAATATAAAAGCAACTTTGAATATCGAAGGCAACTTTCGAATTATGAAAAGAAGATGACATTTATTCAAAAATAAATATAAATAATATTAGAGTGTCATATGATCATATCATAAGGTAGCCCTTTCTCACATTCCACCTTCCAAGTGCCCGATTGACATTCCTACTTTCCTATTGTAATAATTAACGAAAGTCCTTTCAATATTTTATAAAGTATTTTTTATACTTTAATTACTTTTAAATTTATTTTGTAACAATATTTGCTTAACTCACATTTATTACATATTTTATTATTATCTCTATCTCATATTAAAAGTTCACATCAAGAACGGTGACTCTAAAATTAATTAATGAAAGTCCTTTCAATATTCTATAAAGTATTTTTATATTTTAATTACTTTTATTTTTATTTTGTAATAATATTTGCTTCACTCACATTTAGTACACTATTTGTGTCCTATATTAAAAGTTCACGTTGGGAATTGTGACTCTCAAATTATTTAATGAAAGTCCTTTCTATATTCTATAAAGTATCTTTTATACTTTAATTACTTTTAAATTTATTTTTGAACAATATTTGCTTAACTCACATTTATTACACATTTTAATATACTATCTCTGTCCCATATTAAAACACCTCTGTGACTCTCAAATTAATTAATGAAAGTCCTTTCAATATTCTATAAAGTATTTTTTATACTTTAATACTTTTAAATTTATTTTGTAACAATAATTGCTCAACTCACATTTATTACACATTTTATTATACTATCTCTGTCCCATATTAAAAGTCAATTAAGCAAATATTGTGAGTCAATGTTCCCGATATTGGTTTTTTAATATGGGATGGATGGAGTATTATCTATTAAAAATAAAGGAATGAAAAAATATTATATTGTGTTGTTATACTGAAATTACATAAAGATCATATTTATATAAATAAGGGATTGTTTAGGGGAAAGTGAGTGATTGACAAGTAACTTATACTACGTAGATAGTAATATAGTAGGCGTAATCATATATGGTAATTTGTAATATTTAAGAAATCTAGGCAGTAGGTAAAGGGGTAAACTTATGATCTAACAATCCCCTCTCAAACTTGAGATGAGTATAAACCCAACTTGAGATTGGTAGAGATGGGTTTTCACCCATGATGCAGATGGAGGCATGGTTAATAGCTAACGTGGCACTACTGATAACACCGTTGTTGATTGTGTTTGACATGACAACTGTCGTGGCAGGTGACGTGGCACTACTGTTGGCTGTATTTGACATGGCAGCTGTCGTGGCAGGTGACGCACTATTGCTGGCACCACTATTAACTGTGTCTGAGGATGAAGCACTGACGAGGCAGAATTATGATGCCATTGTTGTGAAACTGTGATGATGTGTCCTGGAGGTTGATTGGGCGACCAAAAAAGGCTTTTGTTGAACTTGAGATTGAAGGTTAGGATGCACAAGTAAACGTTTGAAGATTGATCAGCTCCATCCCTATCAATGACTATAATAAACTAATAAGACTTTTTTTTTTTACCAGTGATTGAAAAGCTCTCATATCATTTGTAATGACCCACTCCACCATATGGTATGATATTGTTTGTTTTGGACCCTAACCTGCATGGTTTTGTTCTTGAATTTTATCCCAAAAGGTCTCGTATCATGCTCTAATACCATGTTCTTGGGCCTGAACCTGACTCTGATATCATGTTAGAAATAAATGAATGAAAAAAATATTATATTGTATTGATGTAATGAAGATTACATAAATTTAAGGTTTTATATATAGGAGAAGGTTTGGAGGTAGGTAAGTGATGAACAATGAACTTATAGATAGTAATATAGTAAGTGTAATTATATATGGTAATTTATAGTATGGTAAACTTATAATATAACATTATCAATATAGTAATAAAATATGCATTATCCAAATATTAATTATTGTAAGATTTCATTGGCTTCAATTATTATATGAAGATCAAATTGTTTTGAATTTCTACTCTATTATCACATTTTTTATTAATCATATAGTATTATTATTATTATTATTTCGGAATGTATTCATATAGTATTTGACTTTAACACTAAAATACAAAATAATTTAAATATATTTAACGATTATTAATTTATATCTAATATAAAATAATTTACTAATAAAATACTAGATCGTTGGTAATAATGGCAATAATGTAAAATGAACCATGACAAAATTTCAGACTACACACGTTTATTTACTTGACCCTTCTAATAAAAGGGATAAATTATGTTTATAAAAAATAAGAGGGGTTAGACTGTACAAAAATAATAATAATAATAATTAGTTATCTAAAATATTGAACCTCAACTAATTTTAAAAGTTACAATTTTTAGTTTCATCAAAAAGCATTTCTTTGATTAAATCTCTAAACTTTAATCATTATCAAACAAATCTAAATTTTTTAAAATAAAAAAATGCTAATACCGACATTGACTTCTCATCTCATGTGGCAACAGTGGCATCCAATTTAGATTCTTATTCTTATTACAAATTTCCATAAAGAAATGAGTCAAACATCAATCTAATGGGTTCGAAACGTTTTCAAACATTATTATATCAAATGTGTTTGGTATTGTCTTACAATAGTCAAACTCTCTGTAAAAATAATAATAATAATGCATGATAATATTAATTGATCAATTTTTTTATTAAAAATAATTAGCAAACATAACAAATACCAATCTTTTATTGATTGAGAGCCGACATATTCGTACAGGATAAATGTTCTGTAGCAGGGTAGACCGTGCAGCCAACAAGATGGCCAGGTTGGCTCGAGTGTTAAATGTCAACATTTTAAGTGATAAGTATTATTGTATTAACCATCACATATATATATATATAAACAGTATATAATTATACATTCCCCTCTTCTTCTCCTTGTCATCCTGGAGTTACAGTAATGATTGGGCATTGTAATTGAAGAAAAAGTCAACCCTTTAATCAGGCTAATTTCTTCGGGACAAGTGGACTGATCTCAATGTCTGACGCACCACTTAGGTGTGAGTTACGCTATGCCGGCCGTGAATTCTTCTTTTATTCGATTTTTGTTTATTATAATTTTATTTTAATAAAATTAAAATTAAACACAAAGTAATAAATAAGTAAAGAATGGTAGTGCTTTGGCAACTTTAGGGTACTA